ACTTGTTTGCAGTTACAAGGTTATGACCTTTCTTCCATAAATCCTGTTGGAAATAATCGTTCTATTGGATGCAAGGGTTTAAGGATAAAAGAATTACTTGTTGACCTGTTTAATTATCTGAATCGCGATGAGGATCTGATAGTACTTTGTAATGATATTCTATCACGATATCCGCAACATATTAAGGCACATTTCTTGGCAGCCGATTCATACCTTAAACTTAACCAAGCCTCCCTCGCTGAGAAACATTACTATGCCGCAATTTCTCAACTTAACTCTTTAAGAGCAACGTCCGATTCCCTTCATCACTCCGGTTCCCTTCATCACTCTGGTTCCATCCAACGGTCAAGTTCATTCCACTTTTCAAGTTCAGTAGATGATCATGACGGACAGATGGCCGAAACACTATATTTAAGACATTCCGGGTTATCAAAAATTGTGCGCCACTTCCTATTCAATTACGACGAGCGAATCTGTTTGAGCAAGTCCGAACAGCAAATGTTCATGATGAGCTGTACTGTTAATTTGGCTCACTGTGAGTACATTCGAAAGAAATTCAAAAATTCGGTCAAGCGGTTGAGTACACTACGATCAACAAATACTTTGGATCAAGTGATGATCACGTCGTTGAGGGCCTTCAACCTTTTACACCTACAAGAATACGCGGCTATGAAGAAGGTGCTGGAAGAATCCAAGGTTCGCTGTATGCTTCAGTCGGAACAGAACTATTTGCGAAACCGGTCAGCAACCGGTGGCTCGGCCTGTGAACCGCCCTGTCCCGAACTATATCGTTTGTATAGTGCCGGGGCTTTAATGGCCTTGGCCCAAGATGACTTGTTTGACGCAATACAAGCAACTCATTCCCTCACAGAATATGACCACTATGAATGCCACTTTATCACGGCACTGATACATGCACGCATTGATGGAATGATAGGTGATACGTCGTTGTTCTTCGCCACTATCCACTTAAAAAATGCCATTGCTTCTTCACTCTCCACCGCTCACAAGAGGTCCCAGAAAAATGCCGACAAGACGTCGACTTGTAACTCGAGTCGGTCACACAACTCCAATCGTCGAGAAGGCACTAGCGACGCCCGTGGTGGTAATCGTGGCAATGGCCGGAATGGGAAGGATGTGGTTCCTTCAAGGCATGATTCTGTGGCGAAGATTAGAGTGTCAAATAGTGTAAGTAGCCTCACGAGTCAGCGGCCAATCTCGGAGTTTGTCAACCACCAACCGGTTGGCAGTAACCAACCGGTTAATAACCAACCGGTTGGTAGTAACCAGCCAATTAGTAGTAGCCAGACG